AAAGTGAAGTTACAGTGTCTGCTAAAACAGAAAACTTCATTACTTTTTCTTACTGCAGTTGTTTTCACATCGAAAATATTTCTCACTCTGATTTATATTTTAACAGTTTTAATAAATCTTGTTCTTCTCTATGGCTGTATTCTCCAAATATTGCGTTAACTTATTTTTAGTCTATTAAGGTCAAATTTTTGGAAAAATTTTTTTGTTGAGGAGTTTTTGATTTATTTGAGTTCCAAGTTTCTTTATTTAAAGTAACCATTACAGAAAATATATACCCACAGTGAACAAAGGAGTCAATTATCAATTTTAAATTTGATCTTTAACCCTTTTGGTAATTTTGGATCATTTATACTGATTTTTTTTAGGGGTTTTGGTTACTGGAGCATACTGATTTTTTTTAGGGGTTTTGGTTACTGGAGCATCTGGTTTCATTGCGATTCATTGTATCCAACAATTATTAAACCAAGGGTATAAAGTCAGAGGCACAGTTCGCAGTCTGCAAAATGAAAAAAAAGTTAAGCCTTTGAAAGATTTGGAACATTCTGAAGCACTTGAACTAGTAGAAGCGGATCTTACGAAAGACGACGGGTGGTCAAAGTTAGTTATTCTATTTAACACGCATTTAAAAACCATTGTAGTTCTTCGGTTAGTGACTGGGTGAAAAAAGGTCATCGTTTGGATATTTAAATTACCCAGGAGAACGGCATAGCCTCTTTATTCTATGGCTACTTTACAACCGAATTGAAGTATTAAATTATTTAGGGCAGTTGAGGGTTGCACATATATTCTACATGTAGCAAGTCCGTTCCCAATTGTTGCTGACGAAAGTGTTATCCAGACGGCTGTAGATGGAACTCTCCGCGTTTTGAAGGCTGCTGCCAAAGAGCCAAGCGTGAAAAAAATAGTTTTAACCAGTTCGTGCGCAGCAATCAATGGTGAGATGACTAATCATACACGTATATATTTATTTTTGTCTTGAATGTGTAGGGCGACTGATTAACTAACTAAGCGAGTTTAGATGGCCATAAAGATATGAAAAAAGTATTCAATGAGAAGGAATGGACAGATGTTGAATCAAAAACCACCTCCAACTACTCGAAAAGCAAAACTCTGGCTGAAAAAGCAGCCTGGGATTACGTTAACAATAGTGGAGGTTACAACAATTCATTTTAATTCTGAATGACATCAGCTTGGAATTCTTTTGAATTAGTTTGATCCGCTTGCTGATACTTGTAACTCCTCTTTCTTACTCGTCCGAGAAACAAGTGCAATTTTGCAAACAAGGACCTTCAATATTTTTAAAACCTTCAAGAACATTTGGCTTTTTTCTTTTGAAATTGCTTCTAGCCAAGCAAACTTCTTTTCAGAAGTCAAATACAAGCTTACATGTATCAATCCCACCCTTGTAGTTGGACCTATGTTACATGACGTTGCTGGTGCATCCGCAACGGTAAAATTTTTTTACGAGCATTTTAATTGTTACAAACCTTCTGCTTTCTAGAACTTTTTTACAGAAAGAAGTGTTTTTTAACGGATTATTGTAACAGAAATAAGTTTTTTTAGATAATTAAGAAGTTTATGAACTATGAAATGCCTGCCGTTCCTGCTTTGTCTCTTGGAATTATTGATGTACGCGATGTAGCAGCTGCCCATATAATAGCAATGCGGAACCCAAAAACTGATGGTGAACGCATCCTTTTAACTACTGTCCCAGCGTTGTATTTTAAAGAAATGGGCGAAATTCTCCATAAGGAATTTTCAAAACAAGGTATGAGGAGTTATTTTGATTTACGAAAAAAATTATATAATATTAGCATTATTTACCTTCTGCGTCTATATTGATTTTTTGAATTATCATTTATTAAACAGCGTAAACGTTATTAGACACCATAACTGTCATTGATAGTATTGAGGAAATTGGATTATTCAAGGTTATTATGTACCGTGGATACAAGTTCCTTATGCATTCCTTTGGCTGTATTCGTTTTTTGATGTCGAAGCTCGAGAAGTACTAAGCCGTGTTGGACCCCGGTTGCAATATGACAACACAAAAGTAAGTTCAACTGGAAGAGCTTAAATACAGTAACCATTTAGAAATAAGATATTAAGCACTATGCTTCTGTTACTATTTCGGTCTTCATTAAAGATGTTTCAAGAAACAGACGTTTTAAAATTGCATTCATTTCTAGGCTAAGGAGTTGCTTGGTATCGAGCTGATTGAACCATCTGAATCATTAATTTCAATGGCGTACAGTATGATTGAGCGAGGTATGATTCCCAAGAAATCAGGCTACAAAAAGCGATCGGCCGAGTGAATCTCTGATCTGGTTTCTTTCATGAAATCATTGATAAGCTTATGTAGAGTACTATCTTGATGTACAGTTTGAAATAATTCTGCTGTTTAACAAGACGCTGAAAGAAGTCTGAAAAAGTGGATGGTTTTCAGTAGCTATTAAACGAAACGGCATAATTGAAGAAAGTAAAAAACATCTTTGACCGTAAAGGATAATTTGCTTACATAAGTTTTACAATGTGCAGATTTAAAATGTCTTTACCAATGCTAAAATAAATATTGCTAATTAGGGTGCTAAGCATCGGCACTTGAGTTTCATTGGCAACACTTAAGTTATTCAGATGTTTTAAATGTCTGATTTTTCAGTAGATTCCCTTAGCAACTTTTTTTGTTTTAAAGTTTTAAAAAGTCTATTTCTAGCCCATTTTTTTAAAAGTTGGGAAGCAGGAACATCTACGTTATAGAAACCGCAGTTTGTTCGCCAGTTCAGCACGAAGGGTCGGTCTGAAGCGAATTTGTAATTATTCGGGTAAATTAAGCGCATAATAAAGTTGCGAAATTTGCCACCACAAATGAAGTTTCTTGAAACTGTTTTGTGAGTGTTCTTCTACCAAGGGACTGCTAGGCTAGTAGGTTTCTGTGCTCATTACTAACAAGCCTTCTATTTTTCCATTTTGAGAACTGAAATGAGTTTTCTGCAAACTTCAAGTTTCACTGGTTATTTAGTACGGCAATACCGACTGCGCTTTCTAAATTTTACTTCGTATAAAATAAATTGATATTTTCTCTTTCTTCTTCTTTCGCTCTTTTCGATTGCTTCTCGGTGTTCTGGGTAGATATCTCCAGAATCTTTTTGATTATACGAGAATATGTTGCCACGCGGGACTTGGAGTTTGATGAGTTTATTTCAGTAAACAAACATTAGCACAGCGAAACCTCAAACTTGGGTAATTAAACCTTTAGAAACAAAAACCATAAAACAAAGCGTACAATTCGTAGGTTATATCAAAACACAGAACACATTAAAACATCAAAAGTTAATCACAGAAGTAAGTAAAACTTGTCTCCTCTTCTCCGTCTTCTCCTGGCTAAATAGTCGTTCTGCTCTGGGCGGGATTGACATCCCGCCTTGGTCGAACCCCGCCAGCCCTCACTTAGCCATAGCTGTTCTGTCCGGATCCAGAGTTGTTTCCCCGCAAAATCGTCGGGTTTGTTTTAATCTCTTTCCGTACCCCCAGCTTGGGGAGCTGGTCTTGGTCTGTCGGCTCCTTCCTCTCCAGCTTGGGAGTGTTCGCTTGACGCGACACTTTGATTTGTAAGATTTCAGATTATGCGATCAAAAGTTAATATGAGTTCAGCTTTCTTCAAACTATGTGGCCGACGATTTGAATTAATTCTTGGCATCCAATCAACCTTAAAATTAGTTGACAAAGCGATCAAAAACTGCAAAGAATATTTTTGCGCAGTTCAAAGCAAGAAACCGTTTGAAAAATTAGATTTCCAAAATAGAATGACTTCACATAAGATCATTCGCTGTAGAATGGTTGATTTGAATCTAATTTATTATCTCTGTCATGTTCGTAACTTTTAGTTACCAAAAAACAACCCTTATGCTGCATTACCTTCTAGACTGCTTACAGCAGTACCCTATGGTTTTTTTATTTAAAAAAAAGTAGCCAAAAAGAGCGGAACAGAGATGACAAAACTTAGGAAATAGACTATGAAACTGTTTTCTTGTGCTGCAGGCTATGACAGACTAATAAATGAATTTTTTAACCTACAGAAATCGAGATATAGGTACCTAAATTGGATAGGTTTCATGAGCCGAATTAATATTTTTCTAGGAAGCTTTATTCATTCTTACAATTGGAACATTTTTGGTCATTTCTTA